CACAACCAAGATGAGAAGGAAAGTAGAAAGATGGGAAACAATGTTTATAGCCAGTATTTCTGATAAAAGTCTCATTTCTCAAATATATAGAGAACTAAGTCAAATTTATGAGTACAAGTCATTCTCTAATTGATAAATGGTCAAAAGATATGAACAGGCAGTTCTCAGATGAAGAAATTAAAGCTATCTAGAGTCATGAGGAAAAATGGTCTAAATCATTACTGATTAGAGAAATGCAAATTAAAACTAAAGTACCACCTCACACCTATTAGATTGGCTAATATGACAGAAAAGGAAAATGATAATTGTTGAAGAAGATGTGGGAAAATTGGAACACTAATGCATTGTTAGTGGAGTTGTGAACTTGATCTGACCATTGTGGAGAGTGATTAGGAGCTATGTCCAAAGGGCTATAAAACTGTTCATATCCTTTGATCCAGCAATACTATATCCCTAAGAGATCATAAAAAAGGGGAAAGGACCCACATGTACAAAAATATTTACAGCAGTGCTTTTTGTGGTGGCAAAGAATTGGAAATTGAGGGAATGCTCATCATTTGGGCATTGAACAAGTTGTGGTATGTGAATGTAATAGAATACTATTGTGCTATAAGAAATGATGAGCAGGCAGATTTCAGAAAAACCTAGAAAGACTTACATGAGCTGATGCTGAATGAAGTGAGCTGCACCAGGAGAATATTGTACACAATGACCACAACACTTTGTGATGATCAACTATGATTGACTTAGCTCTTCTCAGCAATATAGTGATCCAAGACAATTCCAAAAGATTCATGAAGGAAAATACTACCCACATCCAGAGAAATAACTATGAAGTCTGAATGCAGATCAAAGCACACTATTTTCATTTTTTGGTGGTTTTTCCCTTTCATTCTGTTTCTTCTTTCCCAAAATTATCAATGTAAAAATATATTTACATGGTCATACGTGTATAACCTCTATCAGCTTGCTTGCTATCTTGGGGAGGGGGAGATGGGCAAGAGGACTCAAAATCTTGTCAAAAATGAATGTTGAAAACTATCTTTACATGTAATTGGGAAAAAATAAAATACCATTTATAAAAAAAAATGGAAAAGCCCACCAGAGAATAATTAGAAGCTCCAAGAACAGGGAGAAATTCCTTAACCCGTGATGCAAGGCCCTCTATTAATCATTATCATTATAGCTACCATTTATATGGTATTTTACAGGTTTCAAAGCACTTTACACATGTTACCTCCTCCTATTCTCATAATAGCTGTGATTTAGAGGCTGTTATTATCCCCATTTTACAGGTGAAGAAATTGAGGCCAAGAGCGGTTAAACGGCTTGCCCAGGGTCACACAGCTGGCTTCTTAGGCAAGATTTGAATTTAGGCCTTCTTGATTCCATGTGCAGTACTCCATCCGCTGCACAACTGAGTGGCCAGTTACATACCTTTTCACATGCCTCAACCTACCTTTGCAGCTTTATCTTCCTCTAATCCCGATCAATAATAGTGATAGTAACAACACTACAAGAGCGATAACAAATCTACCATTTATACAGCACTGGAAGGGTGTGAAATCCTTTATCTTCTCTGATGCTCGCAACAACCCTGTGGGGTAGGTATTATTCTTCATCTGATTTTACAGATGAGGAATATTAAAGCTATCAAAGATTAACTGACTTGCTCAGAGTGGCAAGTGTTTTGAGGCAGGATTTCCATTTTGTCTAACACTTGATCCACTGTCCATGACTGGTCTCATCACTGTGCCCCCACCCCCACCCCCAGCACCGCTTTAATTCTCCTAAGTCTGTGCTTTGGCTTATGAACTTTCCCTCCAACATATCATTAATATTTTCTTCCTTGGCCCTTTGATATCTTTTACCTCTTGGTCATGCAATAGAAAATATATATGATTTGAAATCAAAAGACTTAGGTTTAAATCCCAGCCCTAATTGGACCAGAAAATTTAACTTCTAAATTTCTTAAGAGGCGGCTAGGTGGTGCCATTGGATAGAGCACTGGGCCTCGAGTCAGGAAGACTTGCCTTCATGAGTTCGACTCCGACTGCAAACACTTAGCAGCTATATGACCCTGAGCAAGTCACTTAACCCTGTTTGCCTCAGTTTCCTCATCTGTAAAAGGAGTTGGAGAAAGAAATGGCAAACCACTCTGGTATTTTTGTCAAGAGGACCCTAAATGGGGTCACAAAGAGTCAGACAAGACTGAAAAAACAAGAACTAAACAACAACAACAACAATACATTTCTTAATCTATAACAATAGGGGTGGGATGTTATTGGACCTACAAGTACCTTTCCAACTCCAAATCTATGTTCCCATATACTCAAATGATCCTACTAACATGTTCTCTGATTAGGAATAAATCATTTGACATCTCTGGGACTCAGTTTCTTTCTTTGTAAAATAAGGGACTGAAATACATATTTAAGGTTACTTCCAGCACTAACTCCAGAGACTTGTAGAGCAACTATCAGTTGCCAAATCAGTTTTCACCACAGGAAAAAAAAAACACCTAGATTCTCATGGAGTGACTGTTTTGAAAACAAGAGCTTCAGGAAAAAGAGTAACTCCGTGAAAATACAAAGTGACATAGGGATTGTTAGGTAACCTAACAATTTAATTCTGCTTTTCACCCCCTGGGTGACCCTGGGTAAATCACTGTCACCTCTCTGAAGGTCAGTTCATTCATCTGTAAAGTGAAGGATCTGTTAGTAGATGAAATATAAAGACCCTTACAAGTCTAACAATCCATTTCTTTTATGTTCTAAGGTTCCTTTAAGCTCTAACATCTCATGTTCTAAGATTCCTTTAAGCTCCAACATTTTATGTTCTAAGGTTCCTTTAAGCTCTAACATTTTATGTTCTAAGGTTCCCTTAAGCTCTAACATTTTATGTTCTAAGGTTCCCTTAAGCACTAACATTTTATGTTCTAAGGTTCCCTTAAGCTCTAACATTTTATGTTCTAAGGTTCCCTTAAGCTCTAACATTTTATGTTCTAAGGTTCCTTTAAGCTCTAACATTTTATGTTCTAAGGTTCCTTTAAGGTCTATTTTATGTTCTAAGGTTCCTTTAAGCTCTAATATTTTATGTTCTAAGGTTCATTCTAGTTCTCACTTTTGTGGCTGTTCTTCTTCTAATGTCCTTTCTAATTCTGATATGCTGTCTTCTTAGGATCATAGATTGGAGCTAGAAAGAATGTAAGAAGCCACCTAAATCCAACCTCCTCATTTTACGGGTAAAGAACTAAGGCTCAGAGAGGTTAAATTACTTGCCCAAGGTCACACAGCTAAATAGCAGAGCTGGGATTCAGACTAAGTTGTTCTGCTGAATCCAAATTCAGCACTTCTGCCACTGTACCATAGTATGTTTTGTTCTAAGTTTCCAAAAAGTTTTGGTATGTACTAAAGACCTAAGGTCTTTTCCAGCTCTAACATGGTGTGATAAGAATGATAATAAATATAATCATTACTGACCAAATTCTCATTTGCAGGCCAGGTTTCTCAATGACTTGGAAAAAGCTGCCATTCATTGAAGATGCCTTCATTTGTGATCACAGGAGACAGAAAGCAGTCAAAGAGAAACCAAGTACCCAGTTACAGAAATGAAGCTTTCCATCAATCAGGTCCAAATGGATTTTAAATGGCAGACGAATGTTGAGTGAATGAGTTCTATGTTTGTAAGTAGGCTGCATTCTCAATACAAGTCAAAAGTGATAGCAAAACCCCAAAGTTCATGAAAGGTTAGCCTAATCAATAGAATCATGGTATGCAAAATTAGTGGAGGTGTTATAATCCTGTTGGCCCTATCTTGGGCAGATAGTGTCTGGATTGTTATGTTCAGTCTTAGATGCCAAATTATAGGAAAGGCATTGACAAGCTGGAGCATTACCAGAGGGAGGGAAATGGATGGTGAGGGTTGAAGGTATGCCATATAAGGTTTGCTACAAAGAAGTAGCAATGCTTAGCCTAGAAAAAGACTATCCTGTGAATTTATATCGCCATTTTTGAAATACCTTCCACATATTTTTTTTAATTTTCTTGCTTTATTTTCCTTGCCTTTGTCTTTTCCCTTTTTCCCCTTTCCCTTTCCGTATTCCTGCCTTTCCCTTTCTCTTTTCATTCCTTTCCCTAGCTCCCTTTCCCCCTTTCTTCTGTTTCTCCTTCCCCCTTTTCCCTTTTCTGCTTTCCCTTTTTCTTACTTTCCCCCATTTACTTATTCCTCATTCTCCCTTTCTTTTTTCCCTTTCCTCTTCTTCTTTTTCTTTCTTCTCCTTTCCTAGAACTCTTATTGAAGAAATTTCCTCTACCCAGGCAGATCAGTTACTGTTCTTCAATTTAGAGTCTTAGAAAGTTTCTTGGGGGCATTGGGAGGTTATGTAACTTCCCTAAAGTCACACAGCCAGTCTTATATTAAAAGCAGAATTTGAACCCAAATCTTCCTGACTCTAAAGCCAGTTTTCTATACATGATTTTTCCTTTCTTCTTGCTCTGAACATTTCAGGTGCTTGATAAATGTCTGTTGCATTCAATCACAATCTTTAAATCTTTGAAAGTCTATCAAGGGCAAAAGACATTAGACTTAAGCTTATAAGCCCTGGGGGCAATAGTAGGATAATGGGTGGAAATTGCATAGAAGCACGTTTCATATACATATAAGGAAGAATTTCCTACAAATTGGAGCTGTCTCAAAGTAGAATTGACTGCCTTAGATGTAATGAGTTCCCCGTCACCAGAAGTCTTCAAGAGTGGCTGGATGATTTCATTCTGGGGGTGCTACACAGGTAGTTCTACTTCTCCAGGTTCAGCCAGTGTTGAATGAGATGACCTGTCAGGTGCTATTACGATTGTGATATTATGATTGAATACTGTGATATTACAGTTCCAAAAGTCCAGAAAATTGAAGGGAAAACTAAGCACACAGTATTCTGAATCATATGTAGGAGCAATGGAAGGGATATTTGGGATGAGGGACCCAAGGGAACCTCAACTCACATTTGGAACAAAACCTGGCGTCATTGCCTTCTCCAGTATGGCGTCCCAGTTCATGTCGGCTAAATATGGAGAGCTCTGAATATCTACAAGGCTGGAAAGGCGGCTTTCAGGGTCTTTTGTGAGGAGCTGTGATTTCAAAACAGAAAGAGAAAAGATTTTCTGCACTTCATATGTTTAACAAGTTCCAAGTCTGATGAGAATCCTGAAATTTAAGAGGTCAGAGTAATCAATATATCATTATACTATTGCTCTGCATTAATCTGGGTCCTTCTCTCTGTGGTGGTCCATGCTCTGTGAGAAATTCATCTTGACTCAACAAAAAATAATATCAGCCCAATTAGCAGATTAAAGAAATGAAACCAGAGAAGAGAAATCCAGAAAGTTATAAAGCAAATCAGTCGATCAGTAAGCACCTACTATGTGCCCGTCACTGTGCTAAGTGCTGGGAGTACAAACAAGAATAAAACATGATTCCTGTTCCCAAGAAGCCCACACACAGCTCAATAGGGGAGACAATATGCAAACGATTATATAAAAACAAGGCCAATTGGATATAATTAAGGAAGGAAAGGCACTAGAATTAAAGCAGATCAGGAAAGGCTTCCTATAGAAGGTGTGGTTTTAGTTGGTACTTGAAAGGAGCCAGGAAGTGGAGATGAGGAGGAAGAGTTTTCCAGGCATGGAGAATAGCCAAAGAAAATGCTCAGAGTTGAGAGATGAGGCAAACTGTGTGAGAAACAGCAAGGTTATGAGACATCCAGGTTGAGGTGTCTGACATGCAGTTGGAGATGTGAGTCTGGAGGTTAGCAGAGGTTAGAGCCAGACAAATAGACCTGGAAGTCATCAACATAGAGATAACAATTGAAATCATGGGAGCTGATGAGGTCTCCATGGTAAATAGTATACTTCCTTTTCCTCTTCCTCCTCCATCTCCATCATTACCATTACTACCATCTGACATTACATAGTATTTTCAGAAACAGTTTGGATAAATAGATAATTTTTGAGTTGGGAAGGCCTAGGTTCAAATTTTGCCTCTCTCTCTCTCTCTCTCTCTCTCTCTCTCTCTCTCTCTCTCTCTCACACACACACACACACACACACACACACACACACACACACACATTTACTATGTGATCTTGGCCAAGTAGCTTAACTTGCCAATGTCCCAAAGCAGCAGTTTAAGTTGCAAAAAAGATGCCAAGCTACACTGATGGAGGGAATTTCCTCAAGGGGAGTTCACTCTAATTACGAAATCACAGGTCCAGAACCTGTCCTTTTCCCCATGAAAATAATACCTTAAAATTTTCAAAATACTATACATTTATAATTCTATCTTATACTCATTACACCAAAGTAATCATTTCAGCTATTATTATCCCCTTTTATAGGTGAATAAATAATAATGGCATTTATATGGTGCTTTAACATATGCAAAATGTTTTACAAATATCATTTTATTTGACCCTTACAACTCTGGGAGATAAGTACTATTATTGTTCCTATTTTTAGGAAACTGAAGCAACCAGGGGCTGAATGACTTGACCTGGATCACACAGCTTTTAAGTATCTGAGGTCAGATCTGAACTCAGGTCTTCCTTAATCACTGTAACCACTGTACCACATAGCAGAAGTTCAGAAAGGTAGCATTTATCACACAGTGATTAGGGCACTGAACTTGAAGTCAGAAAGACCTGGGTTTGAATTATACCTTGGATATTTACTAGTTGTGTAACCCTGGGCAAGTCACTTAATCTCACTTTGCCTCAGTTTCCTCACCTGTAAAATCAGGGGGTTGGACTTGATGGCCTCTAAAATCCCTTCTAGGTCTATATCTTTGATTCTAAGTTTGTATGGTGAAGTGACTTGCTCATGCCAATAAATGGCAGGACAGGTCTTCCTGTCTCCAGGTTATTAGTATAATAACAGTGAGTTAACGTTGCATAGTGAGCAAGAGATGATTACTGAGCCAATTCAATCTATATTGTTGTGATTAATATATTTTTACACGAATATATGGCACATAAGGATCAGAGCTAGGATGTAAATAGCCGGACTTTCACTCCTGACTCCAAAATCAAGTTGGTTATATCAATGGGAACAGTGGCATAGTCAATAGAGAGATGATCTTTGAACCAGCAGAACCTGAGTTCAAATCCCATTTCTGAGGCATACTGGCTCTGTGACCCTGGGCAAGTCACTTACCCTCTAAATGTTCTAGACAACTCCATAAGTTTCAGAAAGGGTTTCAGCTTATATTGGCAGAGGGAGTTTTTTCATCTTGAATTTCCCTATACTAATGACATTACAGCTCCATCCCCATCTCTAGTTTAGTTGGAATAGTGAAGAAGTGGCAACAGATGAAAGAGATACTGCCAAGGTCAATGATATAGGACTTGGAAATAAGAGAGGAGGAAGAGGGATCAGTTAAAAGTGACTCCAGAGCCACAAGCCTGTTGTCATTAATAGGAATTGGAAGCCAAGAGGAGTTCAGGTGGTTTCTGATAAGCTGTGCGGCTCATCAGACTGTCTGAGACAAAGTGTTCTGAGATTTCAGCTTTACTTGAGAATACAGGGAAACATAATGGAGAAGCAGCCTTCTGTGACAGTCGGAGAGATTAAAAGAACAGAACAGAAGTCCTCTCTGAGCTTTTTTTTTTCCCAAAAGGAGTACTTTTGGTGCCTGATTGGTGAGGTGGAGGACACAGTGCAGACAACATAATAATTTTCTTCACCTTATTATTATACTTGGGGTTTCTTCCAGTCTACAATTTTTGTCCACTTCTTAAAAATTGGAAAAAATTAAGAAATTCATTAAAGGACAGCAGCTTGTATTCCAATTTGTAAGTAACTAAAAATGTACTTTGGAAAAAATTCATAATTTTTTCTAAATTAGCCAAACTTTGATATTTGATATATCAAGCTATATAATTTCATGAACAAACCAAAACTGAGTAAAAAAAAACAGTGTTTACATCCTAGCTCTGCCATTTACTGTCTGGGTGACCTTGGGTAAGTCATTTAAACTCTTCAGATCTCAGTATCCTCATTTGCAAAATTCAAGGGTTATACTAATCTCTTTTAGCTCTACATTCTATGATCCCAGAGTTTAGAAAAAATGATTAAAAATATAGAGCTCAAAGAGAGCTTAGAGATAGATTATCTAGTACAATACCTTTTTTGTTTTTCATTAGGGATCTAAAACAATACCTTTTCACCAATAGCAAGTGTGATATGGAAGAGACAGCATTGGACTTGGATTAAAGAGATTGAGGATCAAGTCCTGACTGACACTAAGAGCTCTGTGACCACGAACAAGTCACATGTACTCTCTAAGCTTTCTTTGCTAAACAAAACAAAAAAACAAACAAAAACTCTTCCATTTCCCCCCTACTATCTACCAAATAAAGTTCATACTCCTTTGCCTGTTATTCAAAGCCCTCCATAACTCACTATTACCCTGCCTTTCTCCAGCCTTATTTTATGCCAGTCCTCCTCCACACCAACTAGTCTCTTCTCTGCCTCTGTTCCCACCTGTCTGTATTTTTCTATCCCTGTGATAAGGCATGAGCTATTACCTGTACCTGTTACTTCCACCTTCCTGCTCTTTGCCAGCTAAAGTTTTGTTGTTGTCCATCCTTTGTTCTGAAAGAGGACCAGTGACATCAGCAGGGTGATGTCTTGACTTGCACATGAATTGGATTTAAGTGAGGAAGGGCTGCACAGTCATCAGCCTCACTCTCTCCTCCAGAGTCATCAAAGTTCAGTGACAAGAAAAAGAGTCAGGATGATTGGTGATGGCCCAGAATGCAGTGGGTGACCTTGGCCTTTCTAAATTAAAGTCTTTCCCAGGTCTCCACCAAATTCTTACTCATCCTTTCAAGTTCATCTTAGATGCCATTTCCTTCCTGACACTTTCTTTGCCCTGCAGACCTTTATGAATTTTTCCCTCAGAATTTGTATAGTGAAGATAAGAGATCTGTTACATTTTCCTAATAAACTTCCATCAAGACCAGTACTATGTCTTATCTAAACTTTGCATCTCCCCAAGTTCCCAGCATAGTATGTATTATACAAATTAGCAGCCGTATAAGAATGCATTATAATATGAAAAATATGTATAATAATGTTTGTAATTATCTACTTCATACATTAATGGGGAAAGTGCTTTGTAACCATAAAATTCTATAGAAAAGTAGGCTAGTATGGCTCACTTTGGCTAAAGTGGGAAAGTAGGTTCCTATATGCAAAAGAGCTCAAAAATGAAGAATTGAAGGATTGGGTTTTTTGTTTATTTGTCTGCAGAAATTTCCACAGGATTTCCTTTTTTTCCCTAGGTAAAAATTTAAAAAAGAATTTTGTATTCCACATGGCTTTGAAATTTACAGAAGAATTACATTTCTAGTAAGAGATCTTTAATTTTTTTAATTTTTATTTTATTCTGAATTTAAGAAATAGAACAAGCATTTCCATAACTTAGTAAAACAGAAAAAAAAAAGTTGATTGTACATGAAACTGCCAATCTATTGCATCCAAGTTGCTATTCTTTTTAAATATATACTTAAGTTCTAATCCTTTATTGCCGGTCACTAGTCATGCTTTCCTGGCCTCAAATTCCATCTAAAATGCCATCTCCAATGAGAAACCTTTCCTGATCTCCCTCAATGCTAGTGCCTTCCCTCTGCTGATTTTTTCCCATTTATCCTACATTTAGCTTCTTTGTACTTAATTGTTTGCATATTGCATCCCCCATTTGACTAAGAGCCCCTTGAGTACAGGGACTTTTTTTTTTTTTGTAGAAGGGGCAGTGTATCCTTGGAGCTTAGCATAATTCTTGGCACTTAAATGCTTATTGACAGGCTGTGGATATACTCCAGGTCTCCCTTCTGGATTGTCTTCTTTTCTCTCTTAATTTAATCAGCTTCTCTGGGTTGAATAGGGATTTCTATGCAGATGACTCCAAGATCTACATACAGCCCTAGTCTCTCTCTTGTCCTCTAGGCCCTTCTTACCAGCAGCATGTAGCACATCTCAAACTGGCTGTCCTATATATGTCTCAAACTTGACCTGCCCAAGACAGGGTTCTTTATCTTCCCCCAAGCCCATACCTCCTCTGTTTCTTTTTCTGTTGATACTATCTTCATCCTCCCATTCTCCTCCATTTGCAACCTCCAGTTGTCCTTTCCCTCAACACACACTATATCCTATTGTTGAGTCTTGTTGAATCTCTCTCTATAATACATCACTCATTAGTCCATTTCTGTGTACTCCCACAGTCACCATCCTAGTTCAGGCCCTCATTACCCCTCCTCTTGACATTATAAGAGTCTCTTCATTAGATTCCCAGCTTCTAAACTTCTATTAGTTGCTTCGCCTTCCAATCTGCCTTCCACAGAGCTGACAAAATAATCTTCCTCGAGTTCAGATCTGATCATGTCCCTCTCCTGCTCAAGGATCTTCTGAAATTCCTAATTCCTCAATGAAAAAATACAAACTCCTCAGTTTGATATTTAATACCATTCATCATATGACTCAAGTCTACTTCTCCAGGGTCATTGTACATTATTTCTTTTTACCCACTCTATTTTCAAGGCAACTTAACTTGCTGTTCTTCAGAGATGGCCAACTGTAGCCTGCCTAATGCCTCAGCATAAACTGTCCCCTATGTCTTGCCTTGGTGCTTTAGAAACCCCTAGCTCCCTTCAGTGCCTTTATTGAACCTCTTAATAGTCAGGGCTCCATCGCTTCTCCACAATAGCATCACACACACACACACACACACACACACACACACACACACACACAAACAAGCACACACATATGTATATGTACATGTGTATATATGCATATACATACACTTATTTAGTCAAAAGTTGTGTCCCACCCACTTATCCCCTTGTATAATAAAAGGTCATATGTATATATACACACACACGTACATACACATATACATATACATATATATTTATTTATAAGCCTATTTTTCATTGCTTCTTGTATCCTTAGTACCTAGAAGTACTTTTAACATGATAGTACTTAATAATTTATGACTTGATGATTAATTTTAAGTATTAAATATTAAGTATTAAATTATTAAAAGCATTAAGTATTAAATTAAATTTTATAACTATATAAATATTGATTTTAATGAATAAATTTAATAAACTTAATTTACTCAGTAATCTTAAAAATTCTTTTCATTTAAAGTTGGTCAGACTAACAGGTGGTGGAAGGTTAGTCTATGAAGTAGCAGCTCCCAGTTTATCAGGCCCATAGAGGGAACTTTGGGTTTACAAAGGCTGAGCCTGGCCTTGGGCCCCTGTGAGCCTGGCCTCCCTTACCTTTTTCAGCAATGCTACCATTCCTTTACACCACGTGGAGGAATAGTGAATCCGTTCTACTTTGAACATGTTGAGGATCTCATCGATTGGTGTGGCTGAATGGATTTCATAAGGTCTCTGCAAACAAAAGGAAAAAAAAGCACTGAGAACCTGGCCTCCCTGCTGAATCCACCCAACCATCAGCTGAGCCTTGAGACCCTGAGAAAATAATTTCATTTTTCTGGGCCTCTGATTCCTTATTTATAGGATGAGAATGTTTGCCCTATCAAGGACCACAATGGAGAATTGAGGAAAGTGCTTTGTAGAACTTATAGCAGTAGATAAGTGTGTGAGTTATTATTCCCTCACGTAATCCCTTCTTTGATGCCTCCTCATGGTGTATAGGTTCTTGAGGACTCTTCCAATGGAGTATAAGGTCTGGCACATTTTCCCAGGCAGGAAAATCTTCCAATTTGGGGCCCGTAATGGACTATTTCTGTTTTCTGAGGATCTAATTAATCAACTCATTCAATCGATAATTATTAAGCACTTCTGTGTCAGGCACTAGTTTTGAATATCCAAAGGAAACACCACAGCTCTTGCCTTCAAGGAGCTTATATTCTTATGGGAGAGACAACATATACATAAATAGGCATACAAGAAACTTTCATGCAGGGTCAATGGATGGTGTCTTTAGAGGAGATGGCACAAAGAGCTGGTAGAAGTGGAAAAGGCTTCCTACAGAAAGTGGGGTTTGAACTGAGAGTCTTTAAGGAAGCAATAGATTTTAAAAGACCTAGCAGAGGAGAGAAGATTCTAGGAATAGGATATAACTGATACAAGAGATGAAAGATGATAACGGCCTGGACTAGGAATGAAGCTGTGTGAGACAGAAAGGGGCCAATGAGGATACAATGTAACGACAGAATCAAGGAGACTTGGCCACTGATTGAATATGGGTGAAGAGAGGGAAGAATCAGAGACAACCAAGGTGAATTGAAGGATACTGATACTATCCACAGAAAAATAAAAGGAGGAGATGTGAATTTGGGGAGAAGACAATGAATGTCATATGGAATGTCATGTGTGAAGAGCAGTAAGTGCTGTCCAACATAAGTAGATCTTAGAGTTCTTGGATACGAATAATGTGTGAGAAGTCTGCAACAATAGGAAAGTTGGAATGAAATTTAAATGCCAAAAAATAAGTTTATATTCAATAATGGGGGTATAAGAGAGCCATGGCTGTTTAGAGGGGCTTTGGTTAGACCTCAGCTTTTGGAAAATCTGGGTTTTTTAAAAGATTTTTAAAGATTTAAAGCTAAAAACTTCATCTAAGTTCAGAATGATTAACTTTTTGGCATAGAACCACTCAAAGACATCTCCTCTCTGGTACATATGATCTATATGATCCTGAAAGAAGGTATATGAACTCACATGGCCCCAGGGACCTCTCTAAGACTATATGTTATAGAATGATTGCCAATCCACCTTGATAGATAAAGACAATTTCCTCACAGGTCCTTCCATATATCAATAAAATCACCCCATCATATCCTTACGTCCCCCCCCCCAAAAAGACCATCTGCATAGGCAGAGCAAATATAGATCACTACAAAATTAAAATTTCTTGAGAATCATTGAGTGTCTAAGGATGCAGATGGGGAAACTGAGGAGACCAGAGTAGGAGTCAGAAGACTTGTATTAAACTTTTGCCTCTCCCACTATATAGATATGTGACTAACTCTAGCAATTCCCTACACTTCCCTGGGTCTCATCTGTAAAATCAAGGTTCCAAAATCAGTGATTTCAAACCTTTCTCTTAGGTCAGAAATTCCATATTCTAAAGTTCTTCCCAGCTCCAACATTTTATGTTTTAAAGTCCCTTTCATCTCTAACATTTTTTTTTCCATATTCACCTCTAACATATTATTTGCAAGGCATTATGCCAGGTGCTGTGGGGAGCACAAAGTGACTCAGTCACTTTCCTCAAAGAGTTTACTGTTTAGCTGAGAGTAAAAACTTTATACATGTGACAAGTCAAATAACGACATAAACAACTAGTGTGAAACAACGAGTTGTCCCAAAATGAACTTATCTTTTCCCTGACAAAATCTGCGCATCCTCTGAACATTCCTATTCCTATTAAATTGTCATCATCAGTCTCTTAGTCACTCAACCTCAAAACCTCTGAGTCATGCTTGGCTCCTTCCCCTTCCTCAATGTCTCCTTTACCCATATCTTATCCTGCCTTCCACCATCCCTTCCCCGACGTAATTTGTAAGTCTTTTGAGGATAAGGACCATGACTTAATTGCATCTCCCTCTAAGTATGTAACTCGATACCTTGTTCCATAAAAGTCTATAGGCTCATTGAACTGAACATGACATGATAGTGGATAGAACACTAAACAGAGAATCTAGAAGACCAGACGCTAAAACCTCATGGTCACACAAGTGATCATGAATAAGTCATAACCTCTATAAGCTTCAATTTCTCTATCTGTAAAACAGAGATAACAATAACACCTTCATCATAACCTTGTTGGGAGGATCAAATGAGATACCTTTGGTGAAGCACTTTGCAATCCTTAAATACCCAAAATTCTCAACTGGATCTATGATTACATTAATTTGCATGTTTCTCCCTTGCAGTAATGGTCCCTCTAGAATCCTGTGTCAATATATCTTTCCAACCTCTTTGGAAATTCCTTTCTCTCTCTCACTCTGCAATGCAGTAGTCAAACCGGTGTTCTCTTGGTTCTTCACATACAACACTCCATCTCCCATCTCCCATCTCCCTTGTCTTTGCACTGGTTGTCCCCTATGATTAGCATGAACTCTCCTTCTTTTCACATTGTTTGGTCTCCCTCTCCATTTAAGATGCATCTCAGGCACCGTCTTTAGCATGAAGCCTTTCCAAATCCCTCCTCTCCCCCTAGCTGCTAATGTTCTCCCTCCCAAACTAACTTCCTTCTAATGATTGCATGTTTATTTGTGTTTCTTCACTTTTAATTTATTCTGTGTGTATAGATATACACAGTGTCTACCCTATTATAATGTGGGTTTCTTAGGAATGTGGATTGTTCCATTCTTGGTGCTTATTTCCCCAGCACCTAACAGTCCCTGGCAAAAATAGATGCTAAATCAGTGCTCGTTGATTCATTGAATGATTCAGACTCCAACCTATGCCTGATTAGCCCATGCGACTCTTTTTCAGATCATTCCATATGTTAACTATAATCAACGCAATGTGTTGGAGGCCTTCCTCACCTTATCCTGACATCCTAAGAAGAGTATTGGAGTTTACCTTTTATCCCCCACCTATCTCCATTTTAGATTACACATTTTTCTGATAATATCTTTGATACCCATTCCTCAAAATTCCTTATTTGTTTCAGACTGCAACTTACTTCCCACTTTGCACCTCCCCATTGCCCTCCATGCTATATTCATTCCCATATCCTTTGTGACCCTTGTGTTCCAAGTCTCACAGCCATATAACAACACCAGTAGAAGAACTGAAAATAAACAGCACTGAGAGGAAAATGGAGAGGTACTTGGTGAGTATGAGCAAACCTTAAAATGCTACATAATGTAGATGAATTTATAGCTCACAGTCGTCATTTCTTTTTGTCATGAAAGGGTTCAAATAACATGATAGAAGGAGATCACCCTGAGAAGGTGGGTTAGGGCCAGAGTGTGGGGTGGCCAAGTCTTGCCAATTCTACCTCTATAGTCTTGCACACATCCATTTTCTCCTCTCTGCTCACAATTCCACTATGCTAGCACAGCCTCTTATCACCTCTTTCCTTTACTATAATAATAACATCATTAAATAATAAATAATTTTTAGGATAAAAACTAAATGAAATGAACATTTCCTTCTAACACAAAAATAGGATTATAGATTGATCTGAGAATCTCTGTTATGTAGAGGTTGGATTTTTTTAAAGCATACAATAAATTCAACATGTAACTTGCAGAACTGTCCTGCTTTTCTGTAATTTTTCCCCCTGGTCATCCTGTTTTCTTTTGCACATTTAAAAATTCTTCGATTGCTCTCTTTTCTTTCTTCCTTTTGTTGGCTACTCTATCCCTAGCCCCTTTTTACCTTATATCTGCTCCCAAATCTGAAAAAAAAAATAAATCTTCTAATGAATGTGTGTAGTCAAGCACGATAAATTCCCCACATTGGCCATATTCCAAAGTGTATGTTTTGTTCTCCATTTTGAGCATCACCTGTGTGGGAGGTGAGTAGCAGACTTCATCATCCACCCTTTGGAATCATATTTGGTCATTCCAGATCATAGTCCTTAAGTTTAAGAACCTCTTCACAGTTTTCCTAATTTCTAGACTCTCTTTCTTCTCTAATCTATCCTTCACATGACTGGAAATATAATCTTCCTAATGTCCATGCTTGATTGCCTTATTACCTTAATAAAATAATCTTCACTAGCCCCCTATTGCTTATGCTATGAAAAGTGTTTCAGTTTGGCATTTAAAGTCCTACAAAAGCTAGTTTCTACCTGCCTTTCCAGCTATATTTTAGATCAATCCCTAAACCACAAAATGAATGATCAGCTTTCCCCTGAGCTCATTAGGCTCTTTCCTAATTCCTTTGCATTTTCTCAGGCTCTTCCCTATTCCTTGAACTTTAAATACTTAAAATGCTCATTGGGATCTATGAGCTTCTTGATTAGAATAGTTTCTCCAGTGATGGAGACTGTGACTCCTCCATACCATTTGTGATAGTAATTTTCATGTCTTCTACTTGTGGTATGTAGTTGTGTGACATGGAACATAGGGGTCTCCAAAGAACCAAAAATAATCACCACACATAAGACAATAGAAAGGTACTTCTATTCCTCCAATTCTTTAAAGGCTAATTCATGTGCCCATGCTCTTGTGAAGTCTTACCTGCCTTTCATTTAAGAGTGTTTCTCTTCCTTTTCAAATTTTCCTAGAATACTATCTGGATTACTCCGTTGCCCTCACTACATCCTACCTTGTATCTACTTACTTTTGTACATGCCGGATCTTTGTTAGATTCTACCCTCTTGGAGGGCAGGTTGTATAATTTTTTCATCTTTGTGACCAGAGACCTTGATATGTAGTAGGCACTTAATAACCTTTTGTTGA